AAACATCCCACGATGCACATGACAGCCTCTCGGCAAAACAGAACAGCTCCAAATGTCAGCAGTGCCAAGATTGAGAAATCCTACACTAAGTGAATGAGAGGAGAAGAAAGGGAGGGTGGAGACTTCTTAGGAGTTTTTTTTTTTTTAACCTAAAACCCTACAATTCTAGATGACCTGTTAATAAATCACAGCGTTGGTTTTTTGGTTCAGCAAAGTCAAAACACAGCAAAGCCTGGTTTGTCTGAAAAGGGCTCAGCAGTCAATCCTTAACTAGCTTGCCTGAGAAATGCTTTTTTTCCCCGAAGGAGCACAAGGGGGCGCAAGAACCCCGTATCACTGCAGTGTCCTCAGACTTGCCGCTCTGCCTCCAAGTCAGAAAAGAGAACCACTAAACCAAGTAGGATAGTTAATGCTCTGGTCTTGCAGAACCCTATTCAGCTATGAGGGCAAATATCATGTCTGTTTAATTGGCCTGCACAATGCCTGGCACAATGGCATGCTGTTATCTGTTAATTCCGGAGCCTCTCCTGCCTTTCTTCTCTTTAGTGGTCAGGGGTTGATATGAGGGGTTTACAATCTAAACAGCAAAATTACTCCCATTTTAAAACTGAGTGCAGTTCAACTCCACAAAGGGGAGAAATTTACCCACTGATGTGTAAACCAAACCAAGAGGTCAACAAAAATGGAGCCGTAATGTACCAGATGGCACAAAATGTAGATTTTTATTTCACCCCATCTCTGCTCTCACCCACACATCTGGACTCTGTGCATGTGCACAACGTGCCAAGTCAAACACTCTGGAAAGATGAGGCCCAGGAGGGCAGTGTGGCAGATTGAAACCTGCCCTGAAATTTTAAAAGAGAGTGTGTACAGGAAACTACCTACCATTCTGAAGTCTTACATCTAAAACGAGGATCGCTGCTGGAATCTTTTACCTATAATTATGAAGGTGCCTCCAGGGAAGTTTCTAGTAGTACAAAATGTTCAGAGACATTCTGGGAGAAAAGTCTTAGGTCAGTGGTTCTGAACCTTCCATTAATTTTCCCCCAACAGACTAATGTTTTGACAGATTTTGTCTATCAAATTGCATGTTAAAAATAATATGTTCCATATGTGTGACCGCTGATCCAGATTTTATCCAAAGATCAGTAATTTTAAAAGGGTTCACAATATTATGAAATACACAAACCACTACTGCAATTGTGATGCCTAGAAGTGACAAAGTTAAGTCTGTACGGGCACTGAAGCACTGCTCTCTGCTACCGATCACTGACTCTGGCCATCTCTCTGTATATGTTTAGGATACAGCTATACAACACATGGCTTTGCCACATTATTTCAGCACCAATAATGTTCCCCAAAGTTCTGAGTCATCAGCAACCAATTAGAGCTTCTGAACAGCTGAGCTGTATTACTACACAGAGTTGACAGAGTTCTGTTCAACATGGCGAAAACTTCAACTCCTCCATCCCCAAACTATTAATATTCTATTTAGAAGCTGCAGGAAATATAAAAAATACAATAAGGACTTTTATAGACCTCCAGGTACACAGGAAACACCATTTAGGACCTATGGTCCCAAGGGATTTTACAAAAATTATTTCATTCCAGTGTATTGTGTATTTGAGTCTACAAATTACTCGTGGAATTTTACTTGAATAGCTTAGAAGTATCCAATATATTTCAATTAGAATTAAAAAAAACAAATCAAACTTGCTCTCAAGAGTTTCAAAACTCACAGAATTTTAGGGCTAGAAACAAACTTGGGGATCATCTAATCTAACTCTATGTATGACTTTTCACACATGAAAATAACCTCTTTGGACCTTAAACGCCTTTAAATCATTTTGAGCCATAAAGCCTGGCTTTCCCCATTTGGAGCTCAGTCCACCATTCCCCAATGCTTTCTGGTGATTGACACGTTATTTTAGTCTATCTAATAAATGGCTATAAATTAATGCAAATAATTATATATTACCTAAATCAACAGATTTCACATTTATTTAGCTATAACCCACAGCAAGAAATATGTTTTCAGTTATGATCCAGAATCCACTCACACAACAAATTTTATGATACAAAATTTGTCTTTACTACATTAATGCAATACACTTCCCCTAAATTGGGACCATGACCCAATAATGGGTCTGTTCTTACAGTACGGAAAACAAGGAGCACACGTGTTGCCCTCTGGCTGTGTGAATTCTGTGTTGATTATACACGGTCTCACATAATTCTGTAGTTGTTTCACTGGGGTTAACCTTGCTTCCCCTCCCTCCAGACAAGGTTGTCTGTGCAACAGCATGTCTTAGAGCAGCCGCTCCAGGAAGACTGGCTAAAGTACATTTATGTATCACCGTTTTAGACGGTTGAAAACATCATCTACTTTTTTTGCTCATGGACTGCAGTCCATGAAAAAAAGGAAAAAAAAGAAGAAGAAAGAAGAAGAAGAAACCTTGACAAAAACTCCGTTCTTTCACTTTCTGCTTGACGTGGAGAAGATGCTTTGCTGGGGCCGGTGAAGCAATGGGCAGAACGTTCTGGTCAGAACTGAATCAAGTGCTGTTTCTTTCTCTCTTTTATCTGGGGGTTTAAGATCTAAGCGAGAAAGTAACATTCCTAGATATTACAAGAATGGACTTTGGAGAAGCAACCGATAACAAATATCATGCAGGAGTTTCTCAAGATTCCTCACAAAACCAATGGCAGGATCATCCTGGCCACTGGAAGAAATTAATATTCTCCTCCTGCCAGTTTCTTCTGGAATCTGCAATTTCGCTTTCCTTTTGTCACATGCCTTAGCGGCTTCACCAAGAGAGTAGTAGAAAGGAAAATGATGGGGAACTTATCTCTATGAATTCTCACTTGCTACCAATTATTCCATTCATTCTTTGCTTCATTCCACAAACACTTACTGAGTGCCAACTACATCCCAAACAAGATGCCTTAGGTCCTGGGTGATACACTGGTGGGTGGACAAGCCAGACCTGGTCTGCCTTTATGGAGAGTTACAATCTAGGGTAGGATGTGTGAAAGAGGCATCTGTATTCCTTGTGTCACATTAATTCATTCCTTCTCACCACTTCTACACTGAAAATGACAGACTTGTAAAAATTCAGGCTTATTCTTACCCAGAAGTGTACTGACAGAATTCAGAGTAGGGATTATCAGCACAATTCACTGACACTTCAATAAATTCTTTGAGATGGAAAAGATTATACGAGGACTCACACACCTTGAAGTACACAGTTCCCTTCTCTTTGACAATGGCAGCCTGCTCCAGTTTTTCTTTGGTGTCCATCTCCCAGGATTCTTTGGCCTGTTGTGTAAATTTGTAACAATGGTTAGATGAAGAGAGAAGGAAAAAGTATCAGCTGATGCCTGTAAGAACAGACAGCAGCTACTTCTAGGACACCCATGCCTCAAAACACACTGGGTTTTAAACTGCGTGCTATTGCCAGTTCACCGCTGGGTTAGAACTCACTTTCCATGATGACTAAGCTGCAGTGTGACCCATGTTGCTTAAGGAGGAGCAAGACAAAAATACAAGTGAGCAAGCTAGGCTGTTGTGTGCTGTTAAAGAGCATCTTCAGAGCTGTCCGGTGAGGACACACAGCAAAACCGGGCGTCCCTCCTCTCCCCTCCTGCACACTTCACCAGTAAACTGCCATTACAATTTCAGCAAACTGTTTCTCTCTAGCCTCTGTCTATTGACTCTAAAATGGGAACACTATGGTAGTCAAGTCACGGCTGTATATTCACAGAGAATTTTTAAAATTCCAGATCACGTAGTTGTCTTTCGACTCTGAAACCTCTTTGGACCAGCAGATAAACTAAAGCTTCCAAACTGTATCAACTTGCAGACGTATACCTGGGGGACTGAAGGAAAACATAACAGGGAGGGTAAAGCTGATGCAGAAATATTTCAAAGCCATAAACCAACGATTTTATGACCATCTGCTATTTTGTATTATGTGTATTATTGCTCTCCACCACTAGAGATATGAATCCAGGGACAACCGCACTGTCATTATGAACAGCTAGATTTAAAGGGACCATAAAGAGTCAACAGAACAATCTGGGATCCTTTAAAAGGGAAAAGGAAAAAGGCTGTGTCAGTGCTACTGACTACATAGGAATTATGAAACTTCAGTGAGTAACTGTAAAATTCTATTCAGAAAACAATTAGTGATGTATTCCTGCTGCCACCCACCTCACCAAGTGAATAACGAGAGTTACTAGTCTTTCTGGTTTTTAACAACTTAGCTCTTAAAGTCTTTTGTGGTTTTTAACAACTTAGCTCTTTTACTTAAAATTCTAGTCACAAGGGCTCTTTGCATTTTTATACCGAGTTCCGTCTTTATGGAGTATAAATGTATTCTTAATACTACGAGGCAGAGAACTAAATCCCGTTGCTTTTTCCAACAACATCACACTCTCGTGTGGTTTCAAGCATACGCAGCAGTGCTGCATGGAACATGCTCCTGGAGCAGTGAGCGTGCAGGGGCTCGTTACAGCACAACACAGTGAGAATATTCCGCGACAAGCAATGTCCACACAGCCGGGGATCGGAAGGGGCTGTGGGTTACTTGACTAAAATGGAAATAGGAAAGCCAAAGGTCTATATAATCACATGCTAAAGATTATTTTCTCTCTTTAATAATAAAAAAACTTTGTGCTATGAAGACAGTTTTGGAGGATCAGTGCTGAGCTGGAAGGCCTTCAGGAGAAGTGACCTGACAACAAGTGATGGTCACGACAGGAGCATGTGCTTGTTGTGGGGGCATGGTGGGTGGGGGGTACGATCAGGAACATTGCCGTTGGGGGCGAATCCCAAAGCAGTCTGCCCTGACTTTCTAGGTCCAAAGTTACAGCCCTCCGGGACGATGGTTTCCTTTTGGAGTCTAATGAAACATAAACAGTTACATTTCCAGTCCACAGCTTAACGTACAGAACACGGAGGCAGCACTGTGGGAATAAAAAGGGCACACGAAATGCAGTTCTCGGGGCTTTCAGGGAAGAGTGGGGCCTTGGTGATGCAAAGGGGACTTGGCCAGACACGGTAGCTAGTGCAGACATATGTGGTGGGTGCGTCTGGTGAGGCTGCTGCCGGGAGCCTCCAGAGGTGGGTCTGAGATAGAAACACGTTCGAGGAGGCACGCTGTTTCCGGAACCGAAGGCAACGGACAACCTCTCTTTTTTAGACTTGGACAGGTGGGAAAAGAGAAGGCCGCAGGGTGAACAGGTTTGTCTCTTGTGTCCCTTGTCACACAGCCTGGGGGCCCACAAAGCCTTGCCTTTTAGATTACAACTTGGAGCCACGTGAAGGCCTCTTCACAACTCCCGGGAAGGGTACGGTCCGTTCAGCACTGGAGAACTGCACCCCACGCCCCCAAGGAGCTGCTTGGCAGAATGTGAACCTTTTTGTCTTCAACCCAGGAAAAAAAGTACAAAAAGAACAAGTCTAGGAACAAATAAGGGAACAAGTCTTGGATTCTACCCAAAAAAAGTTAAAAAAAAAAAAAAAAAAAAGGCTGACACATAGGAACAAAATCAGAACACTGAGCTCCTTAGCTGTAGATGAGCCGTGCGGTATCGGCGCTCCCGGGGCCGTGTCTGAGACCAGAGACAAACTTCAGTCACGAAAAGCACCGCATGCGAATAAATGCCATCTCCATCCACACCACCTGACAGGAGAAGTAACTTCTAGAAAGCGCATGGAGAAAACATCCACCATGACTTCGGAGAAGCTGGTATTTTCTCACCTTTTCGAAGCTCTTCAGTGTAACTTCATATATCAGCTCAGCATTAGGCTCAATGCCAAACTTAGGCTTCCCTGCCTCTCCAAAACCATATCTGAAATGGAGAGTAGAACAACAAAACTTTAAACAAACTGCTGTATTTCCAGGCACTTCCTCTGGTATTCTGAGGCAGCACGTTAGCACGGGGCTGCACACTTCACATACCACAGACCCCGCAGACAGACCAGATGTTGACCAGAAGCTACAGTGCCACGTATCACTGCTGTGTTGAAGAAACCAGGCTCGATTTAGCTTTCTTTCCTCCTTCCCAATCACACGTAATGTAACACCTGTGCTCCTTGGGGAAGCTTGCTTGATGGGATTTTAAACGTCACTGCCTTTTTCTCTCTGCTTGATTTTATATCTAGTTCTTTTTATAAAATAGCCATAGCTTGGCCATCAGGACTCTTCCCCGAAGCTTTATCAGCAGGAGGACAGAGAAGACAGGCACTGTAATTGTTACAACCTTGCTCGTCAGAGGCTATGTTTAATAAGCTTTTCACTTTAAAGTGCGGTCTCCTTCCGGCAGTAGCACTTCCAGTCAGATAAACGGGGGGAAGGCTCACACATCGGGAAGGAAATTCATCCTCCCAGTGTTTCTGCAAGACATTTAAAAAGCACACCAGAACACAGAAAAGATATAACAAATGTATCATCAAAAGGAACAGCCTAGCAAGCTCTAACACATCATTAGGAGAAATCCTCTCATAGTTCTGTGGCTATCACACTGGAAAACACTGTACCTTTTAGCCAAAACTTACTAAAGAAAATAAGGATATATAAATTGTTTTCTGTTTCATTTTGAGATCACATCCAAAGCATTCAAGAACATCCTAGAATGGAAGTTCTGGTGGTGTTTGGTCTGTCGGGTCCAACGGTTTTCCCAGCATTTAGTACATACAACGCACGGCATATTATCAAAGTGTTCACTGAGATATATTGTGTTCCCATCTGTTTCACGCCAAACTACTCTTTTTTTTTTTAAGGTTTATTTTTTTAAATGTTTGTTTATTTTTGAGAGAGAGCAGGCAGAGGCAGAGAGAGAGAGACGAAGAGAGAATCCCAACCAGGCTCCGCACTGTCAGTGCAAGGGCTCGACGCAGGGCCCAATCTCATGCACCATGAGATCATGACCTGAGCTGAAATCAAGGGTTGGATGCTTAAATGACCAAGCCACCCAGGTGCCCCTCAAGCCAAACTACTCTTAAGTAAATGGAATTGTACTGCAAACCTTCAGGCTATGGGTTGAAAGATGCCAAAACCAGGTCGATGCTAATACTTCTAATTTTCTCTGGGGTAAAAAGACTAGAGTTGGAACACTCATATTTTGCTGTTCACATCATTTTCTTTACCCCTTGCCTGAATTTTTCAGGAAGAAAATGCTTACTCACCTCCACTATTACACAAGAAAATGAAAGCTGGAGCCAGAGAGAGGCACAGAGACACAAAGAGAGCTGGTAGGAATGGGGCGTGGTACTTTTAATAGCAGGGCAAAGGGTATCTTCAGCTAAGAAATCAAAGAGGACATAATTATCAGTGGCCAATTTTAGGTAGTCATGACTAGTTCTCTACTTCAAGCTCTTAGACCCGTAGATCTCCTATTTTGTTTCTACCATCTGGTAAATAATGGAATAATCTTTGCTGGGACACAGGTGGGTGGGGGAGTCCTTGCTGATCGTGCTTGCTGAGCCCTGTGCTAAACGGGTACACACCCAGCACAGTCTGACGCCTGCCCTAGACCCGTGGCTCTCAATAGGGGTGATTTGAACCTCCCCCCCCTTCCCCCCGGGATAGCAAGCAGTGTCGAGAGGTTTTGGGTTTGCCACAACTAGGGGACTACTACTAGTGGGCAGAGGCCAGGGACACTGTGGAATGTCCTAGAATGACAGAGCAGCCGCCACAACCGAGAAATACCTGGCTCCAAATGTCAGCCGTGCTGAGGATGAGACAAACTGCCTTAGAGGAACTCACAGACAGAAGTCTCAAGGCTGGGGGTGGGGGAGATGCGGGTTGGGTCAAGGAAGGCATCAAACTGCCCTGAGTTATCAATGGGATTAAAGACAACTGAAGGAGGGTATTATTTCTGCAGTCTCTCCTGGGTTCAAACGAAGAGGTTCTGTGAAGATTTATGTGGAGAACACCAGCACGGGGAGGCCTAGGCTCACACCAAACTATTCTGGGAGCATCTAACCCGACCTTCCATGTTACACAGAAAGCTGTCTGACTTATGCCAGATCAGCCTGGGCAAGGAAGGACCCGGGGCACACATCTTCCTCTGACTGAAAGAACACCACAAGTGGGATTCCAGGACTTAACCCAAGGACAGGATGGGCTATAGTAGCAGAAGGAATCTGGTAGTAATGTTCTTGAATGAACAGTTGCAGACAGCAGAGATACAAACAATGATTACCAGTGGCAAGTAAGGCTTTATGGGCATAGAAGAAGCACTTGTACCCTAAGTGCTTACAAACTAAGGTGCAGAGAGACATGCTTCCAGACAGTCACACAAAGAGGCAGTAGCAGAGCCAGGACTTCAATTCAGACCCCATGTGTCCCCAGAAAACTGTTTATTTTTTAACCCGGACTGCCTCATAATTAAACATTATGGCTCTTGGCAGCCTGTGTTTTTGTCGGGGGTTGGTGCAGGACAGAAACATAAGGAAAGGGAGGGGAAAAATTGGAACTAGCCATACTTTAAATGAAAAAGAAGCATCGGTCAGTATTAAAAACAATATAAAGGGGGGCACCTGGGTGGCTCAGTCGGTTAAGCAGCCGACTTCGGCTCAGGTCATGATCTCACAGTCCGTGAGTTCGAGCCCCGCAACGGGCTCTGTGCTGACAGCTCAGAGCCTGGAGCCTGTTTCAGATTCTGTGTCTCCCTCTCTCTGACCCTCCCCTGTTCATGCTCTGTCTCTCCCTGTCTCAAAAATAAATAAAAATGTTAAAAAACAAAACAAAACAAACCAAACAATATAAAAGATACCGTCCCACTGAGGAAAAGAAAATGGGTTCTTTGGAAGTGTTTTATGAATTTACTGTGAAAACATCCTGCCAAGGAGTCTATCAGAGTCAGAGAGAGGTGCGCCCTGAGTGTCTTCTGGGGAGAATGGCACGCAGAGGACAGAGAAGAAATACGGAGCATGTATGTGCAGCAGCCACATTTACAGCAACACTGGGACGCGGTGTTCTGCGGTAAGTGGGGATCTGGACAAGGACACCCACCGTGTGCACATGCCTGGTGCGTGCGGACTGGCTACATACGTGGGCAACGTTACATAGTGCACGCGTGGATGGTCTTGTTCTGCAGAGCGGGCACCTCATGGGACTCTACATACTAACCAGCATCTCAGAAAACAGCACGTTCCTTTCTAACTACGCTAAATTATTTCCATAAAACTATGGAAAAGCTTTTAGACCTAGACATTTATGAAAATTTGATTACTCTTATGATTGAAGATTTGAAAAATCTACCCTATGTTAAAACAGGTCGCTGGGGCGCCTGGGTGGCGCAGTCGGTTGAGCGTCCGACTTCAGCCAGGTCACGATCTCGCGGTCCGTGAGTTCGAGCCCTGCGTCAGGCTCTGGGCTGATGGCTCGGAGCCTGGAGCCTGCTTCCGATTCTGTGTGTCCCTCTCTCTCTGCCCCTCCCCCGTTCATGCTCTGTCTCTCTCTGTCCCAAAAATAAATAAAAAACGTTGAAAAAAAAATTATTATAAAACAGGTTGCCTTGGGGCACCTGGGTGGCTCAGTCGGTTAAGCGTCCGACTTCAGCTCAGGTCACGATCTCGCAGTCCGTGAGTTCGAGCCCTGCGATGGGCTCTGGGCTGATGGCTTAGAGCCTGGAGCCTGCTTCCGATTCTGTGTCTCCCTCTCTCTCTGCCCCTCCCCCATTCATGCTCTGTCTCTCTCTGTCTCAAAAATAAATAAAAACGTTAAAAAAAAAAAACAAAAAAAACAAAACAGGGTCGCCTTTTCCTTGTGGTCTTGAGGGTAAAACAACATAGAAAGAGTCAGCACAATAGCAATAACAGCTAATATACTGAGAGTTTACATTTGTCAGGCACTTTGCAAAGTTCTTTACATGCATTACCTCATTTAGACCTCCACAACTTTATGAAATAGATATGGTTATCCCCGTTTTACAGAAGGGGAAACTGAGGCTGAGGAGTGTTAAGTGACTTGCACAAGTGGACCTAGATGACACGGGGCATGGCAAGGTTTAACCACTAATGATACGACAAACAATTTAAATGTGCAAGGAACCATTTGCATTAGTAAATATAAGGACAATTTGTTTCTCTTTGCCACTAAACTTGAGACATCTGCCCCCCAAATTGTCTTGTCAGCTAGGTTAAAATGTAACAAACTGATTCATACACTATTATATGCCTCCATGTACGCAGAATTATCCTCAGGGAGCTTAAATCTGAAAGCATACAGTGGGCATAAACGCCATTCTCTTTATGTGAGTCTAGGACGATAATTTTAGAATGCTAGATTAAAAATAATTAGAGATTACCTGGATATGGAGGAGATAGCCTCCTCTATTTTCCTTATAGAATGAGAGAAATAAGTTCACCTAAGCGTGAACTACAAATATAGAATAAATGTAAGTAAAACACACTAAAGTAGGAACAGAATAGTGGAAAAAGAACGATAGAGAAAAAGAAGGTATTAAATGAAAGGTGTCTCCGTGAAGGTTCTAAAAGGGTTCAAGGTGTAGAGCGTTTGCAGGCATGGCCAGAACCTCACCCGGGAAACAGGATTATGGCTCAAGAGTTAGGGCAAGGGGGGATATGCTGCTGGGCTAGCACTGAGGCTACACAAAGGCCAGCAGGCATATAAAAGGCACAATTCTACCTACTGGTAAGTGCAGGTCATTCGGATTGTCAATAACCCCAGATCCCAGTGACTGAAATCCAAGGAGCCAAGAGGGAGGAGACTCGAGATAAGCTGATGCACTTTCATGCAAACAGAATCAAAACACCCTGCTTTCTCTCAAGGGTCCATTTATCAAGATAGAAGGGTTAGATTCGTGGTATAATTTTAGGTCTAAAAATAATACCAAACATGTTTTCACAAGAGAGACTGTTAGTGTCTGATAGTTCTAAGCTGGGAAGTGCTAATGGATATCCTTATGATGGGAAAAATTTAGGCAAAAATGAGTCATCTCCGCTGCCTTTAGACCAGGAAGAACACTTTTTTTTCACCCCAGGGACTCTGCATAAGAACAGGTGGCACAAATTCAAGTAGTAATAAGTCATCCAAATGCTTCTACTTCCACCCCTCACATGTTTTACTGCCTCCCACTTAATTTGGAGAAAAGGAAAGAGGGGGCAAGAGAATCACATGAGAAGGGCCAACAGCTTCCTGTCTCGGCAATATGGCAGGCAAACCAATAAACAGCAAAAATTGCCTGTCAGTCCTATCCTTGACACACAACGATCACGGAAACAGCCTCGCAAATCTTTGATATTACAAGGCCCATTAATTCACTCCATGATCATATAGCCTGATTCAATTGTTACCACTGTTAGCATGAACTTCACTGAAAACACTAAAACAGTGATTGAAAAAGCAAGTGTATCCTGTTTTTTTTTTTAATTAAAATATAGTTGACTTACGATGTTTCAGGTGTACAGCATAGTGATTTGACAATTCTACACATTACACTAAGCTCACCTTAAGTGCAGTTACCATCCATTATCATACAATACTAGCACAGTATTATTTACTATATTCCCTATGCTGTATTTTGCATCCCTATGACTTGTAACCATAAGTTTGTACCTGTTAATTCCCCCTTCACCTCTTTCACCTAACCTCCCACCCCTCTGGCAACCACCAGTTTGCTCTCCGTATTTATGATTCTGTCTCTGTTTTGTTTGTTCATTTGTTCCGTTTTTTATATTTCAGGTATAAGTAAAATCATATGGTATCTGTCTTTCTGTCTGCCTTCTTTCACTTAGCGTAACGCCCCCTAGGTCCATCCATGTTGTCACAAATATAAAACACTGATGAAAGAAATCGAAGATGACACAAATGGAAAGATATATCATGCTTATGGACTGCAGGTATTATATTGTTAAAATGTCCACACAACCCAAAGCAATCTACAGATTCAACGCAATCTCTATCAAAATACCAATAGCATTTTTACAGAACTGGAACACACAAAATGTGGACCCACAGAAGACCCTGCACGACCAAAGCAACCCTGAGAAAGAAGAACAAAGCTAGAGGTATCAAAATCCAAGATTTCAAGACACACTACAAAACTGTGATAAGCAAAACAGTATGATACTGGCACAAAACAGACACATAAATCAATGGAACAAGATATAAAGCCCAGAAATAAACCCACACTTATATGGTCAATTAATCCACGCCAAAGGATGTAAGAATATATAATGGGGAAAAGACAGTCTTCAGTAAATGGTGTTGGGAAAACTGACCAGCTACATGCAAAAGAATGAAAGTGGACTTTTTTTTTTTTAATGTTTATTTGAGAGAGAGAGACAAAGTGTGAGTGGACGAGGGGCAGAGAGAGAGGCAAACACAGAATCCAAAGCAGGCTCTAGGCTCTGAGCTGTCAGCACAGAGCCCGATGTGGGCCTCAAACCCAAGAGACATGAGATAATGACCTGAGCCAAAGTTGGACACTCAAATGACTGGGCCACCCAGGCGTCCCGAAAGTGAACCACTTTCTTACACCACTACCACCACACACACACACACACACACACACACACACACACACACCCCAGTCCTTTAGATAACTTCACTATGTACTGAACTGGTATGCTGCTTACCGTGGTCCAAGATATAAAATACACTGTTCTTCCCGCTGCATTTTCTCCAGGGCTTTGTCAATTCCAATTGGAATGTCATGGTCTTCTCCTTCCCCAACGATGAATACCACATCTCTACAATCAAACATCCTTCCATTATAGCGGCCTTCCAGGTGGACTGAGGGAGAGGAGACAGGTCAGTCAACAAAGCTGCTCCGTAGGACTGGTTAATTTAGGGAAGTGATAAATGGTGATTTCCCTTTCTCATTTCATCAAGAGACAAATGGGTATATCTTGTTGACACTTAGTCTACTGAGTCTGAAAATTTAAGAGCCATCCTATTTCTAAGTTTAAACTTATACTTACCAGGAACTGTATCAATACAATAGCTTAGTGGATAATAAAACAAAGTGGAAACACAGGTTTAAATTAAACCTACCATATGAGACTTCCTCACCTATAATACAGGATCAAGAAATAGAATATTTAATAGTAACTATCAAGGTGCCACAAATTTAATTATCAACTATATAAGGGATTAAACATTTATAACTCCATCTTGACTTCAGAGGCTTAGATGAAAAACAACTAAACGGCTATTTCCCCAAAGCTATACAAAGGTTAACTGAATAAAAAAAAAAGCTCTTTAAAAAAAAAAAAAAAAAAAAAGAGTCTTAATCTCATTCACAAATATGTTTGAGTAAAAACAGAAAACCCAAAGCCAACATTATCAGTAACTGTATCATAGCTATATCCCTTAGTGGAGTGATAAATGTAAAGTGTGAAAGGAATCATTAGTCTACTATAACTTCATAAATCAAATTACTTAACCACCTCTTCTGAAATGTTAAAAGATCAATTTCTTGGGGCCTAATTTCTCACTTCACTCACACTCAGCTCATTTCCAGGGTAATTTCAGAACAGATAAGGAGCTTTTATATTTCTTCAAGACAAAATATGAAAAATGTATAGAGATATGTATATTTTTCTTGATCCGTTAGACTTTTTTCCTAGGATAAACAATTCTCTGAATCTTTCCAACTACTTTTCATATTAAAGATATTCATTCTTTTCCATTTAGGTCTTTGACTTAGTAAGAAAAATGAATGGCTCATACAACAGCACAACAGTCACCAAATAATACAATAATTTGTATTTCGTAAGAAAATTCTTTAACTTCTAGGAAACCAATTTGACAATAAATTTCATATATTAAAAAAAAAATGAAAAATTCTTTAACTTCTATAACATAATGGACTAGATTCAAATGTAACAATTTCCTAAAATGCTTTTCTAACACTGGTTTCTCTCCTTTAACTTGCTTTAGAGAGACTAAAAATCACTCACTCTGTTCTACTTGTTTCACGAGACAATTATGATTTTTGAAATACAAATTCAAGTCCAACTTAACTCTACTTTTGAACTATGTGATCTCAAAGGTCCTTTGAAGCTCTAAAATGCTTCAAAGCATTTTAGAATCTATGACCCAGTGATAGAATTCTTGATATAGGCTAGAAACGAGCTTCAAAGCTAATTCCGCAGTTAATCATTTGATCAGGTTACCTTTAGCCCAGCCCTGAGAAATGAAACACTGAAAAGTAAACAGTGGTGATATAGACATCAAGAGCCACAATGTCACATGGACATTATACCTTGAAGCTCTCTACCCTGTTCTGATTTACTAGGATTCATATCATCCTGATGTGTTTCCATCACAGACACAGGATGAAGTCTGAGAAGCTCGGGCCAAATTAGAGAGGGATGGGACTTTCCAAACAAGGGGAAGAAAAACACTGGCTCTCGGGGTGGGGTTGACATATAGGAATTTCACTCTATGTCCCACAGTCATAAATGTAGATGATCTTCTCTATTATAGTCACTTTTGGAATGCTCTAGATAAAATAAAACTCAATCAACTTATAGCACATTGAAAATTCTTTTTAATTGGAAGTATTTTCAAAATAAATTTATTATTTTCAAACATGTACTAGAGAGGTTCTGCAGGGAGTCTAAGGTTTAAGATATTTTTACTAAAATAAATAAAAGATGATGTTCTAAAGGAATTGAGAGTTCTGGAAAGTTTATGTTCTTAAATATTTTAAAATCTGCCCAGGAAATCTAATATAGACCAATGCAATGATACTTTTCACGAAAAAAAAAAAAAATGCTGAGCAAAGTGAATTTCAGTCCTTGAATTGTGGAATACTCTCAAATATTGAGATTTATCATCCTGCTACCTCACAACTTAGCAGACAGATTTTTCTGTCTGAGGTTTATTGTTAGAAGTATCTTCCTCCCTAAAGGAGAGTACATTTAGTGGGAGAGGAAACTATCAGTACATTCATTGTGGTTTTTGGTTGATCAAGTTTGAATGTGTTTTCAAAACAGGAAATCCAGAGACTGCAAAAGATTCCTGCTCATGTGTCAGTTTCCTAGGCTAGTTTTCAGCTTGATGCATGTACTTGATGTTAAAATTACATAAATAATTTCAGAAGTTTTCTTTACATGGCACAACCCATCATATTAGGAAAAGAAAAAAAAAGATTGGCTACTAGTGAACATAATTGAGAAAGATAAGTGAAGCAAGCAAGCCAAAAAAAAAAAAGGTTCAAATTATAATGAAGGCAAGCAAACTATAATGAAAGCAGCTGGTCTACGAGAGACAATAAATGATAGAACCAATGTTTATGGCCACCTAGTAGAAAGGTAAAAATCTGCAATGACTCTTATACTTACTTACTACCTTATATATGTAATAATCTTTTCTTCTGGTAAATCTAACTCTTCTAAGTTGGACTTGGACACTATCTACAGTACCCTAAAATCTTAAACTGATACATGCATGTGCACAAACACACAGATACCAGTTCGTATGTACTTATAAAGCCACTACCTTTAAAAAAAAAAAAGATTTTAGGAAGAGAGAGAGCGCACGGGAGCATGTGAGCAGGGGAGAGAGGTAGAGGAAGAAAGAGACAGAACCTTAAGCAGGCCCCACGTTCAGTACAGAGCCTGGGACTCGAGCCCATGACCCTGGGATCACGACCTGAACCCAAATCAAGAGTTGGATGCTCAACCGATTTAGCCACCCAGGCGCCCCCAAACCTCTACCTTTTAATCTGGAATGTCAGAGTAAGAGAAGGTATCATAGCCTCGGGGGTATACAGCCCACTGATTCTTTAGGTCTACAAGTAGCAAACGCTATCGCTCTGTTAACTGGTTTCTAAACTTGGAACACTGGTGTGACAAGTTCTACAAGACTGCTGACAAGAACTCATACACCACCCAGGGGGCCACAGAAACCCCAGAACGGCCTGCCATTGTAGGGCCCCTTCACGGTGACAGAAGCAAACCTGCCTGGTTCCTACAGAGCCAGTGCCTTCTTCTTTTTTTTTTTTTTTAATTGTCTCAACAATTGGTACCAAAGAAAACTGTGGCAGCTCTGGTGAAGGAAGACCTGTGGTTGCTTTTGACCTTGCATCTCTTAGTGCAAATACTCACTTAATAAATATTTAATAATAACCATCATGACTCACTGGGAGCTCAGCCTCTAGGGCTCAGGAGGTCTGTTGCTAATTCCAACCAGCATGATTTACGGGAAGTAAATGATCTATGACGTGCCCAAAGAGAATAAAAGTACATACAGGATGCTTCTACTTAGGGCCTTTTTGGTAAAGAAAAAAATACACAAGTTAAAAAGGAACATTTTCCCTTGACTTAAAGTCTACGTAACTCCCCATGAAGTCAAACCAAATGAAATTACCCGAGCTTTGCTGCGCAATCCGAGTGTAACCACATCAAGTAAGCCGGGTCTGCTGCAAAACATCACTTAAACTGGAGCTCTGACTTATTGTTCTCTTACTGCCCTAGAGCAATTTTGTTTTGAAGAGCACAGAACACCCTGTTCTGAATGTGGCTGGCACATGAACTCGATGTGCTGACAGCAATTTGTACTCCGATTAAAATAGGGGGGAAAAGGAAAGAGAGTGCACTGCAGTAACAAAAACTGGAATGCAAGAACCCAAAAACTGTAGAATTTGTATTTTAGGAAGCAAAACTGAGAAGGAGGCTCCATAACCTTAAAAAAAAAAAAAAAAAAAAAAAAAAAAAAAAAAGGTGCTGTAAATGCTCCAGCCTAAAGACGTTAGCTCTGGTAAGTGTCTGTTTTTCCCTTTTCTAATTATAGTAGCTGGTGTCTGATAGCTTTGCACTCATTCCCAAAACAATTACTGGGTCATGGGGATCTGAATGGGAATGTTGTAATGGCATTACTACTAGACAAGACCAGTCATCTGGCCAGAGAAAACCAGGTTGTGACAGGTTACTACCACATGGCAAGGGTTTGTTCTGCTGCCTAATTCACGCCAAAATGAGTTTCTCTCTGCCTGCCTAATAGAGCAGAACATCCAAGAGACACTGGATTCTTAATGACCCCCTGAAAAGGCAAATAAAGAAACAGAGATGGATTTGTAACATCAGGAGAGGCATATTAATCACCGATTAGAAGAGAAATGTTCCCATCAAGCATGGTGGTCAAATGTGCCCCGAACTGCCTCCCTTCCTCCTCTGCACTGTTTTACACTAGTAGACATGAACAAATAGCACTAGACGACTGCTTACAGAACTGAGGGTCAGATGCTAGCTGAGAGCGGGCGTGGACCCTGGCCACTGGAACAGAATAGCCCTTATGCAAATGGCTTACAGATCTTCGTCTAAATAGTAAGCACACCCACGGCAATAAATTCCACACCAGCACACATCCTCCTCACGCATCTCTTTACACAGGTATAGCACTTTCGTCAGACCTGGGTGCCAGTCCCATTGTGCCACTTCACAACTGTGGCTTTGGGCACGGTCATCTCAATTACCTGAAGCTCAGTTTCATCCACAGAATTAGGGAAAAGAATATCAGCTAACTAGGGGCGCCTGTGTGGCTCAGTCATTTGAGTGCCTGACTTCGGCTCAGATCACGATCTCATGGTCTGTGAGTTCAAGCCCCACGTTGGGCTCTGCTCTGACAGCTCAGAGCTTGGAGCCTGCTTCGGATTCTGTGTCTCCCTCTCTTTCTGCCCTTCCCCGACTCACGCTCTGTCTCTCTCCCTCTCTCAAAAATAAATAAACATTAAAAAAAATAAAAAAAAAAAATTAGCTAACTCCTTACAGTGGAGAGGATCAAAT